TAACACAAAGACATTTAAATAAAGTTCTACTGGCTAGAGACGACGTGCTGCTGCTGCTGCCGTGTCCAGCAGTGAGTTTTAAAGCGCTGTCACCAGTCAGTTGGAGACTAAAGTGAAAGTCCATTATGCTGGCCTGAGCGGCTCAAAATATGGAAACTATTGATCGGATCCTCTGCACTGCTAATTAAAGATGGTCCACTATTTGTAAAAAGTCAACCCAATTATCAAATGAGCACATGAGGCTGGGTGCTGTTAGTTGGTGTGAAGGTTGCCTGTCTGTTGCAGGGGGCTTTTTCCAGTCTTTATTCAAGCGTTGCTGCAACTGCTCACTGCCTTTCTACTTTTGTACATAGTCACAATTTGCTTTTTGTTTTTCGGACATGCGTTGTTTTGACACACACAGTTTGTTTTGGGTTCAAAATTGAACGTTTTAAAGGAATTTGTTGCCGTTCGGTTCACTTCCTTGCTCGTTTGGCTACTTTATCCTGTTTGTAGCTCTATTTGTATTTGGGCCTGTTTTGTTTATTTGTTTGTTGTCGCTCTCAGAAAGCGACCTAATGGTACGAGAGCTTGTATCAGTGCTCTGGTTCAGGGAGAAGCCCCCGTGGAGCTGGGTGACCCATGTCCCCGAGCCCCGGTATGAAGCCTTTTAATACCCCCGCCTCTCCACTACCACCACCACCATCTTCCCTCTACCCCCTTTTTTCTGCTCAATGGGCAGCAACATGTGACCTGGACCACGTGGGGGCTGAAGCCTGAGGCCCCCCCCGACCCCCCTTGCACCTACTGTCCCTCAACATGTGTGTGTGTGTGTGTGTGTGTGTGTGTGTGGGTGTGGATTCTTGCTTGTGTCTGTTTTATGGAAAGATGAGGCCAACGACACAGAAAGACCAGGCCAAGTCAAGTGATACTGTCCACAACAAAGCCTATACATAGCAACACAGACCGGCCCGCAGGACGAGCACAATGTGTTTTGGCTAAATACAGAGACAACCCAGCCCTGCAGACAGAAAGAGAGGGACTGTAATAGACAAGATAGTAGTGGAGGTTTTTTGTTTTTTTCATTTCAACATGCCAGTTAAGAAAAAAACAGTCATGGAATAGTACAAGGGCTTTTTATAGGTGGGGGGTCAGTGTGTAAGGGTGTAAAAGGTAAATGAACAGCTGGATTAAAGCTGATTTAAATAGTTTTAAAGAGCACAAACACAACAACCCTTTGTGACAAATTCATACCAAATAATAAATCCTAATTTGCCGTATATATATACACACAGCACACATACTGAGAACAAAGCAGAAGAAAAAAACAACTGCTGCCCTGTTAAACCTCAAATTTGACAAAATGACCACATCACACAACTGTGATCACACACTCTGATGCCAGCAGAGAACAGTTCTGGGAGGAAATTGAAGAAACCAACACAGACCACAGATTTCCCCGGACCTGAAACCCGGCTCGTCTATTTGTAGCCCGACCAGAACAGCCATAGTCACTGAAAACTGCACCCAAACCGTTTGATAAGGCATTATCTGGTCGGCCGCTCGGTAATCAATGTTATCTTTTTCGCTGTTTTTCCTGGATCCAGGACCCTTGTTCTTTTTTTTTTTCTTGCTGGTACGAGGACTATATTTGGCTCTCCAGTGCTCTACCAATAGTACTTCTGTCACATGGCAGTCAGAAAGCACTCAGTAATTATAACCTTGCTAGGTTTCTGCAAGGAAGGCTGACTAAAAATACTCCCACATTGTTGCAGTGATGGGGCAAAAGCTGGATGTTTTTGGAGGTTTTTGCCGATGTTTTTGTGTGAGTAAGTGTCTGCGTCTGCTTAGGGGAGATGAGTGTGTGATACTCGACTTCAGATACAGTTAAATGGGTTTGCCGGTCGTGTCGTCTTGGTACCAGAGAAGCACTATTTGACATACAAGCCGCTGCATTCCTGCATGTTTGTTGTTTTGTTTACATTATTTTGTCATTAAAATGCGCTCTTTATATCCTAAAGAACTGGAAAAGAAGTTACCAGCAACTATTTTGGTAATCAAGATAAATGTTACTTTTCCAGCTTCTCAGTTGTGAGAATTTGCTGCTTCTCTTTGTTTTCTGTGATGATGAGCTGAAATATTTTTAGATTTTGTCTGACCTCACAAGCAATTAGGTGATCTCACCATGTGGTGGACAGAAGTCACTATTATTGTTTGACATTTCATAGATTGAACGATTAATCGAGAAAAGAAGCAGTGATGAATAATTCAGTCAGGTCAAACATTGATTTTCAATGTTTTTCCA